CTTTTGGTAAACAAATCTTTCTCTATTTAAACCGGATGCTGTGAAATAACATATCGTAGAATTAAAAAAGACAAAAGACTTGTAAAAGTAAAATGTCAAACGGTTGATCGAGAGAGTCATCAGTTTGGAAGTTCGACAAAAGCTTTCACTGGAAAGAGCTCAACGTTCATTCAGAGTTCTATCTTCCTCGAGCTTCTGCAGCTCGATCCCTTTGAACTGCAATGAATTACGATTCACATTGTTTGTATTTGCTTTTTGATAACTTCGCTTGATAAACTAAGCCAATTTCTATCAACCACTGTCGGCCACTTTGACATTGACATTCTTTCATTTCAGTAAAGTGAAACTTAGAATTCTGTGGGAACTTTATAATATTATTAAATTGTTTACTCGTTGGCTAGAATGAAGGCTTGATATTGTGGAAATACACGACGCTGCATGCGTGTTGCTTATAATTTCAAATTAAATTTATTATCTAAGTTTCGCTTCGTAAGATATAATCGTTCATTCTTAAGTACTCGCAACAGTTCGATGCTCTTGAAAGCATATCTTGCATATCTTAAGTTGATGATTTTTGCAAAATCGTCGTGATAAGTGACCCCGGAGGCACTCTCAAACTAGTTAATCGCAAACTTATCAGCAAATTCTCAAAATCGATTTCCCTGCGTCGTTGGGGAAAGTTTCAACTTTCTCGACGGCGTCCCCAATTAAAGGGAAAATTCATTTTCTTGGAGATACGTCCTCTGACTTTGCTCTCCTCGACGTTCAACGAGTACGTAACCTACCGTGAAATAAAAGTTGCTCCTGGCTTATCCTGCTTCTTACAACGATCCTCGCCCCGTTATCTAACAGTTCATTTCTATTCTGTGGTCACAGTGATGTCGTTTAAACTGCCTTACGTGTCTATTCAATCTGAATCATTGACCAGTTTTGTTCGTAAGTGTTAGAATAACAGCAACTATTGTTAAAACTTCCGATGGAAATGAATTTATCCAATGCTTCTCAAACACTTTTAATCACATCCTGCAAATTTAATAAATCTTCCTCGTCGAAGTAAGTCGATATTTGTTAATTTATTTTAAAAGACTTAACGTTTTCGATTTTTTGTAATGTTTTTGTCGGAGAAGCGGAAAATGTATAATTAATTCTCTCGTAAATCTTCGATTTTGCGTCCTAGTTAATTAATCAAATAATTTCGTCAACTCAGTTATCTGAGATCATGATATATACTTATATTGAAAATGTGATCTGGCATTTCTAAGCGAGCCCGGAGGTGTAACATCTAAACAGACGAGAAATTTGTGGCTCGTATAAACGCAGATTTCTGCTCGAACCGCTTTTCCGACATTCATACGGGGTATATTTGTCGGATAAACCAAGGCGTTGTCGTTAACCTATCGGAAGAAGTTTATTCGATCCAACGTGATGGAATTTTTGGATGAGGAGTTTGGTGTTAGGCCGACAAGAGCAGGGTTTCCTAGTGAGATCGTTTGCAACTTCGGTTTGAGTTATGGCACGCGAGTTTTCTAAGGATTTTGCATGAGAAAATAGGACGCAATTTTTCCCCGCGGAACATCGTTTCCGGGAAACTTCGCTTTTCTCCCCTTCTTCGAGAGAAATAATTGTTTTCATGAATTTTTATTCCAAAATCGTCGTTTTCCTGCTCGATTCAATTTTCAATCGTTTTATTTAATTCTCCAGTTCA